CCAGGTATACCACATCCACTGCATTCCTTCCATCTAGCCCCCTTGAAACCTTGTCATAGAATTCCACAAGGTTTGTCTAGCAGGACCTGTTTTTGCAGAAGCTGTGTTGTGTGGCTGCCAGCCTTCCTTCCCTTTCAAGGACAAAATAAAAATTTAATTAAAAAAAATAATTTAAAAACTTCCTCCAGGGAAGGGAGTCCCTGGGCAGCCCAGGCTGCAGCTAAGGGACGCAGACAAGGGACAATGACATTGGTGTTGTGTCTGTTGGCGCCACCAATGGCTGTGCGTTGCCTTATAAGCCTCACAGGCCACTGACCCCACCCCTCTGCTTCCTCCTGGGCCTCTCTGGCCCTGCTTCCCTTCCTCTCTGCTGCTCCTGTCATCCCCCCCCCCCCCGCTCCTCTGCCCAGCTCCTACCTTGCCGTCGCCAGTCCCCTGGCCAGCCTCTGCACACTCTCCCAACCTCTGCCTCTGCTGCTCCGCTGCTCTGCCAAGAGCCATGAGCAAAAGCTAATAAGTGTTTCTTTTCCAGGTAAGCTTCTTTGTTTGTAAGGTCCTCAATCTTTTGTTATTTTTGGTGGACAAAGAGTATAACAAAATTAAGACATTTGCCCATTAAAACATTTGGTCCTTTGAAATAATTACATGGCTCTCCATAGTCAGAAACACTTTATGAAATAGTGCTCGTCTAAAATTTAAGGACCATTTTTCCTCTGTTATCTATTTTCCTTCAATCACATCTGTCTGAATAAAGTTTGAATGTATCTTACTCCTTAGTTCTACTATAATGGCTCCATAGAATCCCTAGTACCTTTCTTGAGTGCAAAGCATGTGCAACTAACACCAAAGAGGCTTGTGGGTATGATATGACTGTGCAGGCAGGCTTGGGTATAGAGGCTTCAGAGTATTAATATTCCACAAATTATAAAGGAGAGAAAGTAGGTCATGTTAGAAATCTTAATGGATAGAGGAGACCCTCAGTTTTTCAGGTGAAAGCTCACCCTTTTTTTACCAAGCAAAGACATGCATGCTTATAAGGAAAAGTAGATGCCATGATGGGTATGCAAATCCATTTTTGATGTGAAGTAATGTGGGGTGAAATGAGGAAATTTGTTCCAATTTAGTGCTCAAATTGTAGTACTATTATTAGGGATTTCAAGTTTTATCCCAGTCTTCTATGGCTGCCTTCCACATTTTCAAACTCTCAATAGAACTATTTATTTATGGTAAATTGGACATAATGCCTGGTTCCAGATTCTTTCATAGTGAGACAGCCCAATGCCACATGCATCTGAGTTATGGTCTTCCTGTATGGAATTTATGCAGTGGTGATAATGATAACAGATAATTGAGTTCTGAGTTACAACATAACCTATGTTGGGTCATGATGACATGGGCATGTGAGTTGTTGACATGGGGGAGCTATTCCTCTTCACTCCCTCCAGTGAGGAGCGTACTCCTATTTCAATCATGTTCCCAGTGTATTTTTGGTGGCAGAGCAGTCCTGCCAGTGAAGTGTTGGTATGCTGCAATTATTGGCATATATGTCATTCCACTGAAGTAGTAGGACATCTATCAAACATCATAACCTTTTAGCTGATGGATCTCATATATAGGAGTTGGCCCTTTATAACCCTTCTAATTGGTTGTGTGAGTTAGAAAACTTCGTAGTGCTGGTTCAGAGTGCATGTTGATGAGATGGGAAATCTCAAGCTGGTGGGATTTGAAGCTTCTAAATTTGCCAGAAGAAATAGCAATACATTACGAGCCACCCAGAGACCTTTATGGCTAATTGGGTAGCATACAAGTCTAATTAATAAATCAGCAACTACAGCAGCAAGTGTGTCACACTGTACCCTACCAACCCATTTTCTTTGAGATGGACTGAACATTGAAGAATGTGGTCTATGAGGATTGCCCAGAAGTAGGAGAGGTCAAATTCAGGCCTGAACTGGTAGAATTCCTTGACCCTTCTGCTGTAGCTGGACTGGGTGCCAGGTACTACTGCAACCAAAATAGCCTGCTGGCCCTCTGTGTGGCCAGGGTCCATTTACAGCATTCTGTCCTGTTGCTTGGATCCCAGGTGCAAGGCCTCCGAAAAGTTTCTTCTGAAAAATGAGATCGTCAACCTTGTGCTTTTTTAATCATAGGTCATGGCATACTGTGCACAATTTTTAGGATTGCAGATGCCCTTAATGTTGTCCATACAGGTGTCATGCATGGAGGCATAACTCTCAGTGCTTTTGGCTGCATGAGACTGAAAAGCTGATAGTAACCCTTATATGAAATGTTTCAGCATACATAAGTCATATAAATCCCGCAAAATCCCCATCAAAATGGCAAATGTAGGATCCATTGATGAAATGCTACACCATCAAAAATCCCTAAAACATTCTTCTATGTGAAAAAAAAAATGTAGAGAGTGGGCCAGTCTCTTGCACATTGCAGGCTGTCCAGTGGGAATCTTTGGAGGAGTCTGGAGGAAGAACGCGGGCGGGGGTGAAGCCTTTGAAACTCTTTAAACTGTGCCTTGGTTTTTGGTCATGAGAATCAGCCTGTTTTGGAAGAGGAGGAAGGGTTTTCAGGATGGGAGGAGGAACAGGTGCAAGACCCAGACCTTGACCCAGTGAGAAGGTAGTGGGAGAAACAAGCTGCTCAAACTGAGGGACTTTGCTGTTCATACAATCTTGCTCTCCAGCAGGGACTGCCACCTTGAGGGTGCAGCCAGAAGGAAGAGAGCAAGGGAAAGTTTCCTGTTTGGATCCAGCTCTTTGCAGGAGCAGGGGCTCCTCTTTCCAGCACTGATAGAAAGCTCCTTAGAGCTCAAACTGTTCTGCTATCTATGGCGTCTCAATAAAAGAACTGTATTTCAACGGCTTGTTTTGAGTTTTGGAGCCAGATGAAAGAAGAAAAGGGACCAGCTCATGACAGTATGGAGAGTCAGTGTGGTGTAGTGGTTAAGAGTGTTGGACTGAGAGTTGGAACACTGGGGCTCTAGCCCCATTTAGCCATTGAGTGATTTATGATTTGGGGCCAGTCACAGACTCTCTGCCTCATAAGGTTGCTATGGTGAGATAAGATGAAGAGGAGGAGGAGGAGGATCATATAAGCCACCTTGGATTTTGGATTCCTTACAAGAGGAAGAAATATGGCAAATAAAAGTAATAGTTGTAATAATTATTATAATAATGGAAAACTCATGTATCAGGAAAAAAATAGGCTACAACTGTTTTTCCTAGTACCTAGCTCATGGGACCTCAAACTATGGCCCACGGGCCAGATCTGGCCTGCCATGCCCATTTATCTGGCCCGCCATAGAGGTTTTGGACTGGCTGCGTGAAGATTGTTTTGGACTCGCTTGGAGAAAAGGATCTCCTTGCAAGCAAGCCTCCGCCTCGCCACGCATGCAGAGATACGCACCCCCCCCCAGCCCACACCCATCACTGGCACCTTTCAACTGGCCCCCTGTTAAAAAAGTTTGAGGACCCCGACCTAGCTTGTTGTAGCCCTGTTCAGGCATTCTTCTTCTGCAGCTTGGAGGGGAATACCTCAGTCAGCCTTACCTTCTGCACATCTGGACACTAAAGTGTGGTAACATTTTCTGTCCCTCTTCACAGAATAATATTTCTGAACTACTATAGGGTGAAACGCTGATGTGTGAACAATGCATATTATTCAGCCGATCAGAAGATACATTTCTACTGTCATTAGATCAATTGTGCAGTACAGTAAATGGTTAAATGGTTTGTTTCATCTACACAGCTCTTGTATATCTGAAAAATAGGACCTTTTTTGGCTTAAGGAAGAAGGTTATGAAACTGAAATTTGCACAATCTATACTAAACACAACAGGAAGTATGTGTTAGTAGACTGGTAGGCATGTCATGAGCTGAGCATGCTGGAGCCAGAAGTCAAACTAGATAGCCCAGGAGGCCCCTTCTGACTTGCTCTGTTTCTGTGTCTCTATGTTCACACAACACAACAGTTAACAAACTGCAGTTGAGTTGTTCTGTTGTGTGAGCTCAGCTATACTAGCAAACCATTATTTGTTAACCATAACCAACCCACAAAGAGAAGCCACGGTTTGTCCTTCAGCTACTAACTGTGATTAGCAAACTGTTCAGCTGGATTCAGTCTGCAGAAAAATCCACAGTTCATTGATGACCCACAGTTCAACAAGGACCCACAGTCAACCTTGACTATCAGTTGTTATGTTGTGTGACTCCAGCCATTATGCACTTCCTTCCTGGAGTACAAAGCAATATGTATGAAGTCCTCTGTGGTTTCTCTTGAGGTATTAGGCAAGTCCTGATCTGCTTAGCTTCAGAGATAAAGCCTTCAGAACTTTGCTGTGTTACAGGAAGATAATAATTGTTCAATTATTCTTGACTTAGTTATTCCAAAACAAGACCATGGATAGAAAATGGTTTTGAAGCTCAAGAAGGAGGACTTAGTTTCCACTGTGGTCCTTAATTTATATTTTCAGTAGCCTTAAGAGCTGTTTAAAAAATAAAATGTTAGTTCTGTGGATTTCCATTTTGCATCAGTAACACTCTTCAACTAAGTGAGCTCACTGGTATAATTGAAACTCCTTTCTAGTATCATGATAAAACTGTGGTTCTTCCCATTTAGAATTGGGCTATGTCCATTTCCTTTTACAGCTGTATGTAAAATATGAAATCAGTAGGACCTAAGTATACTATGTGCTGCATTGTGGCCGTACATTCTGGATGCCTGTCAGCCACAGGTTATATATTTTTTAAATCAGCTAATATTTTTTAAAGTCTAATATAATATTCTGAGAAATTATTAGTAGAAGAAAACAGATTCCTGGATAACTCTAGAAAGTGTGTTGTTGACACCCCACAGATACGGAGCTTCCTATTTATAACATGGGCCAAGCACCATGCTGTAAACCATTTACTATCATGATGATCAGATTGAGAATGAAATTGCATTTCTGTCAATTACTGAGTTGGCAACTGTTCAATATATCTTAGCAGCAAGATGAAGAGCGGCGTCGGCAGCTGAGAGAGAGAGCTCGTCAGCTAATAGCAGAAGCTCGATCTGGAGTGAAGATGTCAGAACTTCCTAGCTATGGTGAAATGGCTGCAGAAAAGTTGAAAGAAAGGTCAAAGGCATCTGGAGGTGAGTTAAGGAACCTTCTATCTTATTCCTATGGCAACCTAGAAACCTGAGGAAGACCTTTTTGGAATTTGCTTTTATTCAGACTTCAGAATGATCTTACAGGTAATTGTTCTTCACAAAGAACACAAATCTACAGATATAAACCATGTCTCTTAATTTCAAACAGTCAAAAGAATCAAGCTTCTTCTTGCAACTCAAATAAAACTGTTAAGCTGTCATCTAGATTCAGCTAGAACTGTTGCCCTTCGCCTACCCACCACCACTACTGCTGTCTTACAAGGAGCCAACACTCTCTGAGAATTGGGGAGGTTTCAGAAGGGCCTCTTGTGGGTAGCAGACATCAAATATGTATGGTGGCTTTTTAAGAGAATTGTGCCTGTGCAGCTCACTCCATTTAGCTGTTTCAGTGCTAGCTTGGCTCCCTTTAGTCTCCCAAATCAGTCCAGTAGGTATGTTTAAAAATACTTTCTGTTTGGTTAAGTGAAACCAGTTTCATCAGGAGAATAACAATGTCTCACCTGTCTTTGCAGCATCAGGCATTACTCTCCTTCTTAATGACCAGGTTCAAATGACACACTACAGTTCCTTATGGTTTATTTAACTGTATGTTTGCTCTTCACAGGTTATATAATGCATGACAAGCTGTAGCACTTGCAGGTACCAGCTTGCATATGCAGTCCCCCTCCAGGGGATGTCATGTTGTAGGAACCCAGTGAGGGTGGTTAGTGCCGTGGCTAAACAATCTTTGCATAACCCAAAAAGCAGACCATAACACACACTCACTGGTGGCCACATACACTCCACACATGCTGTAGCCTCACTATAGGAAAAATGTTCCAGCAGCCCCAAAGTGTACTTATGCTCGATAGAGTATTGCATTTATTTACATTTGAAAATAGTTGGCCTTGTTTCTATTTTCTGTGGTGCCCGTTTGGATTGGACATCAAGGGTTAGTGTTCCTTTTAACCAGTAACTTTTATGAGAGATGGAAGTAAAGAGGTAGCTCCACCTGTTGTTAGCCGAAAAAATACAACACTATCAATTTTAGTGCATTTTATTGCCATTGAACTAGTTATAGTACATTTTGGCTGAAGTATGAAGTGGCCTAATAACACGTTTATATCTCTAAAACATTTTTTTTTACATAGTTGCTATACAAACAGTGTGACAACTGTAAAGAAGTCGGTTCATGGCTTCTAGCCTAATTTACCTTATTTCCATGGACAGGGAGATACTGACCTGGTTCACACAATATGACAGTTCACACAATATGACAGTTCACTCTGGCTTAATTTGGTGTAACTTGGTGTCCTGCAACAGCAGGGGGTTGGCCCCTTCCAACTCTACTATACTATGAGGGTTAGATAAATAACCCCCCAAATAAACCTTGGGTTGCTTGATGGTTGTCTAACCCTCAAACAACCTCTGCTACTGGATTCATGCAACACAAAAAATCATGGTGACCTAGGCACCTGTGGGCACCTGGCGCAATGCAATAGCCCATGTCTGTACATTAAGCCACAGTGGGCTGTTGTGACTGGCAGCCAGACTCTGTGAGGTGGCGTCCCTTTCAGGCTAACTAATTTGGCCTCACACGGCTATGCATGTTTTAAGCATAATATCCAACTTCTTTTCCAAGAAGGAAAGGCAATCTACATGGTATTCCTCCCACCTCTCACTGCTTAATCCTCATGACAGGTACAGAGTCACCCATTAAGCCTCATGCTTTATTGGTAATTTGAATCTGGATTTCCTCAGTTCTAGTCTGGTACTCTAACCATTATGTAAGCCTCCCCACAATACTCTTCAGGGTGATCCACATTTTACACTTTTCCCCAAGACTCAAGCTGTCAAGAAACTGCACTTTTCTAGGGATTTTCCCCCCAGTGCCAGGTAGGCACTTTGAAGTAGCAGATTCTGGTTGTGAAAACAGGGAAACTACCCTGTTAAGCTGAAAGGAGCAGAGATTTCACAGTCTCTGGGAAAAGCGGGGGGGGGGGGGGGAGGTGATGAAGAAAAAGGGAAAATAGCTCACAATCATGGCAAAGAGAACAGCAAGCCATCCCCATGTGCCACATTGGCAGGCAACATATTTAAAAATTACAGTAACCACTTCCATAATAGTTATCTTGGATAATTTAATATCTACCATTATTGACCTCTGTTATTTTTTATTTTGCTCATAGGGTTGCCTATCTTGAGGGTTCTGTGTTATGATGGCAAGCTAGCATATACATATATAATTAATGCATGAAACAATATTTTAAATATTTTAATGAAACAACAAAGTAACATCAGTATGAAAATTAAAATGAATAATCTTTGAGTTCTTTGTAGGTATTTTTCTAATACATTTCTTTTAGGGAGATACAAAAAGTAAGTGCAGTAACTCATCCTAATTGGTTCAATGCAGTTCTGTGTCACTTGTTCAAAGTATTTGTGCAAAATACTTGGGAAAAGATTTACACTTGATTTAATAGGATTGGATACAACATTTGCTGTCCATCTGTGAAACAAGCAGCTGAGCAGACTTCCCTCTCTATAGTAGAGAGTAGTAGTACATCACACATTAGAACTTATTATGGACAGTTTCAGGTGACCTGATCACCTAGACCATAGACTTACCCAAGTCCAAGAAGAAAGAACCTCCATTTTACAGTCACTTTCAGGTCGCATGGATGTCACATGGATGCTGGTGTTGATGCCCCAGTTGAAGTCATATGAAGGCCAAGCACTTCAACTTAGCACATACAATAAGAGAACTGCCAAAATATTTCTGATGAATTGGCTAGAGGCCCAAACAATGGAGAATCTTCAAGAGCTCATCTCTGGGCCAAAGTTGAGCATTGCAGAGTATCAGCTAGACTTAATCATGTGACTCTTTTAGAGAATCTCCTCTCAGGAGGTGGGGCATGGGGAACATCCCAGAGAGATACACTCCACTGGGAAATGAAGTAGGGGTCCTTTTTTGTTGCAAGTGATAGCATGAAGGCTCCCAGAATGGGGGGGGGGGGGGCTAACACAGGCATAAAGTGAATTGTTTTCACCTCACCTGGTTTTCAAAATACCAGGTAAGGAGCTTAACAAAGACTGTAAATAGCTAGATTGTGTTTTCCTGTTTTATTTGCCATGTGTTACTGAATGGACACTTTAAACTAGGGATATATAAAAAATCCGTTCAGGGATGGGAATCTGCCAGATTCCTGGGCTCAGCTCCCCAAACTCCAGTCCACTTTATCTCAGCCCTGGGTCTTGAGTTCCAGGTGAGGATGCCCAGTGATCACTCAGCACTTGCCAGGAATCAAACTCCATGTGCTGAGCATCCCTCTTCCTTACCAGCACACCTGATGTGGAAGAAGATTGCTTACATGGGGCTCGCCAGGAATGGAACCCTGTGAGGCCACTGTGCAAGCAACACCCCCCCCCCCCGCCTTCCATACCGTATGCGGAAAACCTTTGCTGCTTCTGCTGCACCTGATGCAGGAGAAGCTTGCTAAATGCACAACCTTCATTCTGCATTTATGAACTTCCTCTTGGCTCCATTCACTTTCTAAGATTGGACCAAGCACAAGAGAAAGTCTGTGAATGTTAGAGGGGTAAATTCTGCTGAGTTTTGTCCCAATCCTACTTTAAACTGCTTTTTACTTTGTGCCCTGAAACTGACCAAGCTTTTTTCCATTCTATACCCTTTCTTGCAAATCCTGTTAAATCTTTTCCTCTGTTTTCCCCATAATGCAGAATGATTCCATGTTCCTACAACATGATCATGTGTCATGTTATTAGTCACACTAATGGTAATTAAAAACCAGGTTGCATGCAACTACCTGAGCAAAACCTGTTAAGAACCGGTTCTCCTAAGAATGCAAGAGCCCCCAGTGGAATCCTTAACCTGTCAATCCTAAGGGGGTGGGGACGGTTCAGGACTGAGGAGGCTTGCTTTAAAGGCTTGCTTTACTCTCTATGGTAACAGCCAGAACCAGTTGGCTCTGTTGTACCAGGCTGCCTGCAGGCATCAGATCATAGAAATGCAATCTTCATGGAATTTGGTGATCCAGATTTGGAATCCATGTGTACAAGGATTTAAGTTACTTGAGTCTGAGTAGGCCAAACAAAAGTTATACTGTGTAACACTAATGTAACTTTTGGATTTCTATCTATGTTTAGTATATTAATTTTCCTGTTCTCTGTGTCAATGTCATCTATCTTTTCCCTGCTACTTCCTTCTCAACATTTGTTTTTCACAGAACTTGATGGTGAATAGGTTGCAAACCATATTACCAGTACATTTGGCCATTATATGCCTCCAGAAAAATTGCTTAAGAAAAGTGAATGTTATTCTGTTGTTTCTACCTCCGAACTTGTTCTTACTTTTGCTGAACTTGTAATCACTCTCAGACATAATCCTTTATTTAGCATAAACACAAAACATCCTGTAGCTTTTTTTCTCTCCTTTATTGTCTACATTGTGTGACTCTCAAAGAGGCTCACTCTTCATTTCTTTTTTCTTAAATAAGAAAAACCTGTTTTGCATTTTTGGAAATAGTAATGGCAATCTTTAACTTTCCTCAAAATACCACTTTTTTTTTTGATAAGCCATTGCAGACAATGCGTTTTGATGCTTTAGGGATCCCCACAGATCAGATGTAGTCTCTGGGCATCACACATGCGTACAGGCTCTGCACCTGCACAGACCCTCCTCTGGGAAACTTCTGTAGCTGGGCAATTTTTGGTGAGTTCCCTTCCCACATCTACCAATGTGCATGATTCTGCGGGTTCCCTAAGTTCCCCTTTGACCACCTCAAGGAATGACTTGTCCATAAGTCTAAATTTTTTTGAAATTATTGAAACCATTTTCTTGTATTTTCCCTCTCACCTTATTTTCCTTTTTTTCCCTTTCACCCGCCAAATCCAGGGAGCTTTCTGATGGTCTTGCTTGCTTAAAACAACTATCCAAAGAGACATGAATACCTAGGTCCACTGAGCAGCACAAAAAGAAACAT